AACAAACGATCATTGCTTGTTCAAAATCAGTAAGCCTCAAAGGCTCTCCAAATTGGGTCCCAATCGTTGTTATGGAATTAATATAATCAAATTTAGTGTTTCACCATTAAAATAATAGTACGCAATTCGAGGGAGTTTTTATTTAAGCGTAGTGTTGCAAAATTTATAAATACAAACAGCAGGCCCCCTCCAGCTAAATTTTCTAGCTACGCCAATGAATGTCGCATTTATGATCACTGTAGACAGCTTTAGTCCGGGAGTAAAAGGTGATAGCTCTATTGCAGATCCAGCAACCCATTTCAGAATGTCTGGAGAGTCACGCCCATTCCGAGGTTACTTTAGCTCACATTAAGCTTTGCATGTATGCATCACCGTTATCAAATGCATATTGGTATTACATACACACTTCCAGATTCGAAAATATTCTTTTATAAATAATAAAATTTACGTTTATTTTCTGATTTTTTATGTTTCAACATTTGGTTTGACATGTCAATTGGATAGCTTTTGGCTCTTCATCTTTGTTCTATTTAATTGGTTATTCTAATGTGATGATTGCGTTTAGCGCTAATATATAGGATACCCTTTTATGGGATTGTTTTGGTTTGAATTTAAAAATTTGATAACCTACCTACTTGAGCACCTAACTACTTAAACTAGGTTGCCAAATCACGAATGATCTGGTGGTTTGATCGCAGACAGGCGACTCTAAACCTGTCCAGCATGGAAGTCTTTCGCTCCTCGAGTGTTTGAAGACCGGCCAGGTGGTGAATCTCAGAATTACGAGTTCGCGGTGGACTGTTAAGGATCATTCTGAGGATCTTGTTTTGGATCCTCTGAAGCTTTAAGTGGTGGAACTTAGCACAACTCTCCCAGGTTGGCATACCATACTCAATAGCCGGCAGAATGATTTGCTTGTGGATAGCAAGCTTTTTTTTGAGGGACAGCGTGTGTATCAGAGGGTAGAGCGACCTGATCAAGATGTTACACTTGTTGGATGTCTTGTCCACATGGGATCGGAATAGCAATTTGCTATCGAGGGTGAGACCAAGGTAGACTACTTCACTCGACCATTCAATGAGAGTGCTATCAAGATGGATCTTGACGTTAGCAGGCGGAACAAGCCGAGGTGAATTCAAGTGTGGAAACAGAATGGTTTGTGTTTTAGCTGCATTGATACAAATCTTCCAGCTCTTGAAATAGTCGGACAAAACATCCAGGCCTGTTTACTCGCCAGAGCACGCATCACTCGGCCCTTATAGATTTTGGAGGTGTCATCTGCGAACATTGACAGGATACCATGACCTTCTGAAAGCAAAATTAACTAATTGTATATGTCATATACAAACGTTACCACCTCTTCTTGCATCTTACAAATAAAAATTATCCTTATAGTATCCCATTGTTTCATAATACCAAAAAATAGCAATTTAGCTGTTATGAGCAATTGCAAGCCTGACTGTATATAGTACCATCCCCTTTCGCTTACATTTTCCTAGGCTTCTCTAAAATCTGCTAAGACTGTGTGAAATTTCCCAAGTATCAGTAATTTAACTGAGATTATGCTAACCATCAGTTGCTAATTTGCATCTCTATTCAATTCAAATCCCTCTCATAAAAGCCAATTCCCGCCTAACCGATTAACCCTGTATACTGCGAACGCAAATCGCGTCTCCAGATGCGTTTCACCTATTCCTTCCAATTTTGCCTCCCGCAAATTCTCTCGCATCGATACCACCCACGTTCCCGAGGCTTAATTCAATTTCTCCTTTTCCAATTAGGCGTTAATTGAACTCGTTCTTGACGAAAACAAAGGCTGGGCCAGCCTTGGAATGAAAGGTGAACGAGCGTTCCTGAATAAAGTTGCCACTTGCCTAATCTAGAAATTTCAATTTACTCTAATTTTAGTAGCTATGGAAATGTCTGCACCATCGCTATTGTGTTGCTCTATTTAAATATTTTTAACGCGTGACACATCCACTGGCTGTAGGAGCGAGCGAGTTTGCGTTTAAAAAAACTTAATTAGGATCGTCTAAGAGGCGATTAAAAATTATGTGCCCTGCGGTGATGGGGCACTTGACGGGTTCTCCCGTTGGAATCGTTTTCTGAACAAAGAACCACATTAGGCATTCTAAAGCGAAAATGTTCTTTATAATTAGGGGGAAAAGGTGTAAAATGAGATCAAAGTTAGATCCAAAAGCAAACCGGATGGTCGTGAAGGCTAATGAAATCATAAAACCCATCACATGCAGCCAACCGTCGTCGTCGTCGTCGTCGTCGTTAAGAGCATATCTTGAAGTAGGTATGTAAATTCGCCACGGTGGGTACACAGACCATCAGCAATGACACAAACCCTGCATTTATGAGTCATAAGCAGCGTTTTTAACGATGCAGACGACGACGGCGACGAGGATGGACGACTTAAGGATCGTTAGGGAAGATAATTGAATTAATTATGGGTCCGAAACATGCGACTGAAACGCGCGGAGCAAAACGGGATTGGCGGATGTCATTCGAAAAATTATGATAAAAACAGAAGCTAGTTTCGTTAACGTGTAATGAGCAAAACAAACCAAGATTACGATGTTGCTTGTAGAAATTTGGAGTTAAATTGCTTCTTCACAATAGTTTATGGTTGTTCATTCAGTTAGTATAATAGACAAAGATAAAACAGAAACACGATCCAAGCATTGTGTTGTTGTGAACGAGTTTTTACCATTTAATTTCACGTGATTAAATTCGAATCCATATGAGTTTCGTAGAGTAGGTGAATTTCATCTCGAGGGTAAATTTTCAACAATATGTTGCATATAAGTCAAATCAATTTGTGGGCTTCGACAGAAAATCTTGGATTGACAAATAACTTTGCCTAAGCCTAAGACAGATTTAGATGGTCAAGATTTCGACGGCATACATAAAAAGCCACTTGTCAGGATGCGATTCTATAGGAAATAAAGCATCAAACGATTACCCTTAAATAATAAAGCTAATTTTTAAATTAAATCAATTCAAGATACTGTTGCATGAGTTATGCGCATATGAGTTTTACCTTACAAAATTCAACGAGATGAGTTTTCAGATTCAAAAATCAACCTAGCCACTGTAACGTTACCCAATGCTCAAACTGCCTTATGTTAGGATACGGCACAGTGGGGAATGGCTGGCCATTAGACAAAATTGAAAAATTTGCATTTCTTCCTCCATTCTATTTTTTCTATCATTATATACTATCATTATATACTATTAACACTAAAGTTAAGATGTGCCACAACTACTTGAACAGAGTTCCTATTAGTAGTGAACAAGTTTTCTAAAATGTATACAATTTAATCACAATTTTTTCAGCAAAATAGAGATTGACATCTAAAGATTCATATAGAAAAATTGCTTGAAGAACGTTTATTTATTTGTTGATAAATAAAATGTCTCAGTTCCTCATTACTGGCTCACCCACCCTAATAGTTAAATTATTTTACGTCCAGTAATCTGAGTGTATCCATTGATCAAACTATATTTGAACAAACGGGAAACCCTGAAGATAATTTAAAAAATATGATTATGCCATAAAAAACATCATTCTTTCCCATAAAATCATTTGATGTTCACCAGTCAGCATTTGTGATTTTTATTTCAGGAGCAACTATCAAACACTAGCAGTTTAAAAAAATGCTTACGTGATTCAAACACCCAAGCAATTTCCCCCACATGGTGCTATTAAACGAGCAAGTCATTCCATTCGTTTACTTTTAAAATTTCAAAAGCGCAATAAACCATCCTCGAACAACTCATCCTATGCGATTCCACTTTTGCTCCACTATTCCCAGTTTTCAGTCGTGGATAAGCACAACTCTCCCTCAACCCAGGCCCCTTCCCCCTCACAGATGCATCAGATAATTGTCACGATCTACATGTAAATAAAACAAGAGTCATAAAAATGTTTTTCGCTAGTCTCGTTTTTGCACTGAACCACTTTGTCAGCTTCAACCAACCGTCCCCAAACCGTTTCCAACAGCCGGCAGCATTCTTCTCCTCCTCGTACTTGGTCAGAGAAATAGTGAACAAAACTGCTCCGAAGAAGACAACCCTCCCGGGGACATTATATAGCATATCAACAACAGAAACGACCAGCCAGCGACGACAACGATGTACCAAGTCAGGGAAAACGACAAACTATACAAACTGGTAGCGGAGCGCCGTTAGTGCCCGGTAGTGTCCTATTGGTGGATGGCCGAAAGAATTCCCCAACATGATGGAGAGAACACATCAGAAACATCAAACTCGTGCAGATTTTTTGCAGTTGCTACCACTACTGACTGCTGCCGAACTATATCCCCGGTTGGTGGTTGGTTGGTTGCTTATCATCTTTATGGCTCTGTTCCCTAAATAAAAATGCAACTGCTTCCTTGGCACTGGCAGCGCAGCAGGTCGTGCGAGGGAGGAGAGAACCGGGATCGGGGACTTTCGATGTAGAGAACATGACTGTTATTTTCCTTGTCCCGAACGTGTCTCGTGGTGACTTCTTCATTCCATCAACGCCCCAAATGGGAAGCGCAAAAAAAAAATGAACATTTTATGGCAGGCTCCGCAGCGAAAAAACAGCCGGACAAACACGAGCAAACATTCCGCCACCGGCACCTATCATGTAAACTCATTAACATATACAAAAATTTCCGCGTTTTTTGTTTGTGTTCACGGCGTCGTCAAATGCTGCAGAGTACGGGTCGTAAGCAAATGGAAATGCCGGGTTCTCCCACCGCTGCTGCAGTGCAGCACTTTTTCATGTCATTCCGGAATCTACCATCAAATGGGGCCCCCTTTTTGGCCACATTTACGGCATCACTAATTAATTCTTTAACATGACCTACACACGAACAACCGAGAGAAGGGGTTGACATCCGTTGGCTGATGAGTTGACGATTCGTGACTCGGTTTGCTAAGAATGGAAGCTATTAGCAACATGAAATTCTGAATGTCACATGATGAATCAATATTTATTATTCAAAACGACCTTCAATCTAAAACTTTTCTCCAACAGGTTTGATAGTCAGTTCATGAATCTGCACCCGAGGGGGCGTACCAAGCACGTATAGAACAGCATTCGAAATGTCCACAGTTTCCAGAATGTCATCGTTGATAAGTGCTTCCGGCAAGATATCCGTTCGAACGATTCCCGGGCTGATGCTCTGCGAAAATTAGTTACCTCGTTTCATTGTTCCTACTGAAATTAATGACGAATGACCAACATACCGTAACCTTGATCTTGGTTCCCGCGTTCCTCAGCTCGTTCCTCATCGTTTCCGTGATAGCCGTGACTGCATGCTTGGACCCAGGATAGATACTCAACTGGGGCAAATCCATCACCGAGTGGCCAGCGATACTATTGATATGGATAATGTGTCCAGCTACCGAACGCTTCTTCATCGATTGATAAGCTTCCCGGCTGCAGATCACCAACCCGAGCACATTTATGTTCAGCACTGCACACAGGTTTTCGGTATTACCTGCATCCAGCAGATCCGTCGACGGAAGAATACCGGCATTGTTGACCAGCACATCCACTCCGCCAAGGTTTTCCTCGGCCCATTTGAACGATTGCAGAATATCTTCCTCCTTTGTAATGTCGCACTTGATCGCGTGCAAGCGACTCCTAATCGATTCCTGAAGGTCCAACTTGAGGGCTTCAATGCATTCCACTCGACGCGCCAATCCGACGACCACCATTCCGGCTTTCACCAAATCTTTGGCTATGGCAGCACCGATACCCGAACTGGCACCGGTTACTACGGCTACCTTCCCTGTCCAGCGGTTCATTTTTACGCTTGCGATGTGGAGGTTTTCGTCGATCGATTGAAACTGATTTCGATTAGGAGTGTAACCCTTGTGGCTGTCGTATGGAGATAACACTTACCTACGATATTTTGGCAAATTTTCTTATCTTACCAACCATTGATTGCATTTATTTTGGTTCATTATATCACTCCTGTCGAATGGAGCGAACCTGGATATGACATACATTTTCTAGAGATTATGAATTAAATCAAATTTCAATAGGAGTTTCCCACCAGGCTTATGATTGATAAAAAAATATCAAATTTGAAATTTACCCTTTACTTTTAATCTATAACAGTACTTATCAAATATTTCGCAGATAGATATCGATATCAGTCATGCACTTCTGATCAGCAGACAACAATACGCACCAGGGGACATAAGGCTTCTTTTCCTTTTTATCAGCACACTACGAAAGAACAAGCAGATATCATTGTTCTGAGACCGTTACACGATAAAAATGGCACACACATAAGCATAAGTATCTTTTAAACCATTATTCCAAATGAGTTGAAAATCACATCATGAAGGATTAAGAAGTGCTATATTGCGAGTAATATTCATGAGAACAACATGCTGTCTAAAAAAATGTCTACGGTGTCAAATTTAAAATCATCGGTTCTGCAAGGAAATAATTTCGCCATTGTTGATATTGATACTCATTAGACTGGCCCACAAAAATAAAAGTTTTAATTGTCCACGGGCCAAACCCTAGATTTGTACCTTTATGTGAGAAAACCATTACACTGGAACCTCCATTTACGAACCAAAACGGGGGTTCGTAAATCGAATTAGTGCGTAAAAAAAACCTCGTTATTTGGGATTTACTTCGTAAAAAGAAAACTCGTTATTTGGGATTTACTTCGTAAAAAGAGGTTTTTGAAAATATTGTCAAATACCTCACAATATGGGTATTTTTGGAATCAGGGTGACGTGTATGGACCGGAAATCGATGTCTGATGCCATTTTGAAATCCAAGATGGCGGCTTCCGGTTACAGAAAAACTTCAAAATTCTGTCATATACCACACAATATGGGTATTTTTGGAATCGGAGTGACGTGTAGGGACCGGAAATCGATGTCTGACGCCATTTTAAAATCCAAGATGGCGGCTTCCGGTTACAGGAAAACATGGAAATTCTGTCAAATACCCTACAATATGGGTATTTTTGGAATCGGAGTGACGTGTAGGGACCGAAAATCGTTGTCTGACGCCATTTTAAAATCCAAGATGGCGGCTTCCGGTTACAGGAAAACATGTAAATTCTGTCAAATACCCCACAATATGGGTATTTTCAGAATCGGAGTGACGTGTAGGGACCGGAAATCGATGTCTGACGCCATTTTTAAATCCAAGATGGCGGCTTCCGGAAACAGAAAATATTGGAAATTCTGTCAAATATCCCACAATATGCGTATTTTTGGAATCGGAGTGACGTGGAAGGACCGGAAATCGATGTGTGGCACCATTTTTATATCCAAGATGGTGGCTTCCGGTAACAGAAAAACTTCAAAATTCTGTCAAATACCCCCACAATATGGGTATTTTTGAAATCGGGGTGACGTGTACGGACCATAAATCGATGTCTGACGCCATTTTGAAACCCAACATGGCGGCTTCCGGTTACAGGAAAACAGAAAAATACCGTAAAATACACAAAAATATGGATATATTTGGAATCGGGGTGAACTGTGAGAACCGAGAATCCATGTCTGACGCCGTAACCGGAAGCCGCCATCTTGGATTTCTAAATGACTTCAGACATCGATTTCCGGTTCTTAGACGTCACTCCATTTCCAAAAATACCCATATTGTGGGGTGTATGACAGAATTTCCAAGCTTTTCTGTTACCGGAAGCCGCCATATTGGATTTCAAAATGGCATCAGACATCGATTTCCGGTCCCTAAACGTCACTCCGATTTAAAAAATACTCATATTGTTTGGTATTTGGCAGAATTTCCATGTTTTATGTAACCGGAAGTTGCCATCTAGGATTTAAAAATGGCGTCAGACATTGATTTCCGGTCCCTACACATCACTCCGATTCCAAAAATACCCATATTGTGGGGGTATTTGGCAGAATTTCCTAGTTTTTCTGTAACCGGAAGTCGCCATTTTGGATTTAAAAATGGCATCAGACATCGATTTTCGGTCCCTAAACGTCACTCCGATTTCAAAAATACTCATATTGTGGGGTATTTGGCAGAATTTACATGTTTTTATGTAACCGGAAGTTGCATCTAGGATTTCAAAATGGCGTCAGACATTGATTTCCGGTCCCTACACATCACTCCGATTCCAAAAATACCCATATTGTGGGGGTATTTGGCAGAATTTCCAAGTTTTTCTGTAACCGGAAGCCGCCATCTTGGATTTTAAAATGGCGTCAGACATCGATTTCCGGTCCCTACACGTCACTCCGATTCCAACAATACCCATATTGTGAGGTATTTCACAGTATATCCCAGTTTCCCAAAATCACAAAAAGAAAACTCGTTATTTGGGATTTACTTCGTAAAAAAAACCTCGTTATTTGGGATTTACTTCGTAAAAAGAGGGACGTAAATTGAATACTGCGTAAAAAAAGACTTCGTAAACGGAGGTTTCAGTGTATCCGAAAGTTTCAGCTCATTTGGTCCTAAGATGAGCTGGTGCTTTTAGTTTGAACTTTGTATGGGGAATTTTGATAAAATACACGACAAAATGACACTCCTAGACTCTACCAATCATGAAAAAGTTTCCTTATTTCCGATTTGATTCAGATGTTCAAAAGTTGTAGTTCAGTTTATGAGTTTACAACTTTGCCGAAAACTGCATTATGAATTCGGTTAGTTTTGTGAGATATTCGCGTTTGAATGTATATGAGCATTTCGTATTTGAAAATTTAAACCAAAACCCCTACATAAACATTAAACCAAAAGCACCAGTCTGTGTTACGTCAAAAACAGCTGAAACATTCAGAGTGCAGTTATCTCACCTACTGACACGAGTTTGGATGTTGGCCTGTGGAAAAAATTAATTTTTATTTTTAGTGGTAATCTAATTGATTATGCAACGTATCAGCTGCCTGTATTGTGTTGCAATGTACGAACAGATTGCACATAATTAATTAATATCTCCGTAATACTAACTTGCATCGTGACGCTGTGTTGGGCAAAGTTGTTTTTTATGGTTTAAGCTACATGTGCTGAAATTTTGAGCTTAATAGAATTTTCTGAACCAATTCTATGCACGAAAGAGTGAAGGAATATTATTGCTCCATACATATTAACCAATATCCCCATATAAATTTTAAATCAAAAGCGCTAGCTCGTGTTACATCCGAATGAGCTAAAATTTTCAGAGAGTGATTTTCTCATCTAATGATGAAAAAATGATAAAAAATTTCTCCCATATAAATGTGGGCCAATTGACTCATGGAACCAAACCAATTTGTTGCCAAATATTATGTATCAAAATATTGTGCAGTTGGTCATGGCGAATTAGATGGTGAAATTTTGGCTCACATACAGTAACATACCAACGTTAATTGTTATGATATATATATACATCATCTTCAGAACATTGTTCTGATCAGGATTCAGCATTTTCGGAACAAAGAAAAGAAAATGAACTCTCTGCAGAATCGAGCAAGTGTTTCTTGTTGTCGAGTCACGATGAACATTCCACTTTTCAAACATGACTGGACTATCGCTGGTGCTTCAGTTCATTTCATTTAAAGCAAAGAGCTATTTCAATTGACGCAATGAATGACTCGAAAACTGCTTTCTTCGTTTTTTCCACTTTCACTTCAATTCGGAGCTCATCAAAATATAGTATCCGGATAGTATCCGCACAATATTGGTTGCCGATAGGGATGACATCTAGATTATATGTAGTAATAATATATTATTTTATATTAAAAGAAAATTAAATGAACGAGGCCTTTCTGGACTCCAAGATGGTGGCCATCGGGGTCAGGGAAAGTCTCAAATACCCTACAATATGAGTACTTTCGGAACGGGGACAACGCGAAGGTGCCGAAAATCGATATTCGATGTTATTTAGGAATCCAAAAATGGCGGCCATCGGGTTTCAGAAAAAGTGTTAATACCCTACAATAGGGTATTTTCAGAACGGGGATGCCGTGTAGATGCTGAAAATCGATACCCGACGCCATTTTGGAATTCAAGATAGTGGCCATTGGTTTTATGAAGTGTTAAATACCCTAAGATATGTTTTTTTTTCGGAGCGGAAACAACGCGTGGATGTCAAAAATCGATGTCCGACGCTATGTTGGAATTCAATATGGTGGCCATCAGGACTCAGAAAGTGTCAAATATCCTACAATATGGGTATTTTCGGAACGGGAACAACGCGTAGATGCCGAAAATCGATATTCGACGCCATTTTGGAATCCAATATGGTGGCCATCAAGTTTCATAAAACGTGTCAAATACCCTAATATGGGTATTTGATGGGTCAGAACGGAGACAACGCGTGGCTGCCGAAAATCTATATCCAATGCTTTGTTGGACTCCAATATGGCGGCCATAGGGTTTCAGAAAAAGAGTCAAGTACCCTACAATAAGGTTATTTTCGGAACAGGGACAACGCGTAGATGCCGAAAATTGATATCAGATACCACTTTGGAATCCAATATGGCGACCATCAGGGTTCAGAAAAAGTATCAAATACCATATAATATGGGTATTTTCGGAATGGAAACAACGTGTAGATGCTGAAAATCGATATCCGATGCCATTTTGTAATCTAACATGGTGGCCATCGGGTTTCACAAAAAGTGTCAAATATCCTAAGATCTGAGTATTACCGGAACGGAGACCACGCGTAGATGCTGAAAATCGATATTCGATGCCATTTGTAGGCTATTTAACACTTCTTCTGAAATCGGAAGCCACCATCTTGAATTTCAATATGGCGTTAGACATTGATTTCTGGCTTCTAGATGTCAGCCCGATTCCAAAAAACCCACATTGATCGGTATTTGACAGT